TTATATTTTAAATCTGATGCTATAGTTGACAATATTCTCGGTTTGAAGCTTAAGGGATTGGTTTCAACTTCTTTAACAATCTAACCCTCGGCACAAATGGCACATTAAAAATACTTTATTTTTATTTAAAATATCTGAGTTAATATAAATATCATGAATGTGTTAATGGGTTTTCATTAAAATTGTTATATGAAAACATTTTAGTAATTATCTAATTTACAGCAAAAATGCACATAAAAAACTCAAACATAGTTTTCTATTTGATTTGATACATCTTCAATAGTGTTAACTCGTATATCGATCGATAAGTTTTAAAAACATTCAACCTTTGAATCAAATCCCAACATTAATGGTTGTTTTAACTGATATATTGACCTAAAAATAATTATTTTTTAAAAATAACTTTAAACTACCGGTGTATTTTGTTGAGTAAACAGTGAATACAGAATTTAATATAAAATATATCCTCACAAATGTGTAGAATTTTTAAGAGTCTTATATCCTTTATATAATCCTAAAGATTGAGTTTTTAATATTCATAGAAATGTGTGGAAAAGTTTTTGTTAATCTAGTTTGTTTTAAATATTCCACAAAAAACAAAAAATAACTTAATGTTATTTATCTTTAGATCATTTATCAAAGAAAATCATTTTTTACTAAAAAACTATTTGTTAAATAATTTAAGTATCATTTAATTATAATAATGAGAATATCTTACGATAAATCTAATGTTAGAAATTTACTATAAAAGCGATTACTATTAAGAATTTGGTGTATCTTAATAAGAATTTTATAAATCTGGTCTAATGATTATAACATTCATTTTGATATAACTTAATATTAATATTTTCATATTATTAAAGCAAGCATTAAGAAACACAATACACATTAAAACGACTTTAAAAAAGTTAAATAAATTCATCTATTCTTTTATAAATGCAATATTGTCTTTTTGCACCATGCATGTTTTATATTAATTAATTCATATAATACATAAGTACATAATATAACAATTCTTAAATAACATGCAGAATAAATTCGCAAACATTTATCGACAATAAAATGTTGTAAATCTAGTGTTGTAAACAATATTTGTAAAAATATTGATTTTTTAACTTAAAATGATTTACCGTTTCTTTATTCCAGGCGTCATAACCACTTCCGCCCGAAAGCTTAATGAAACTGGCGATCAGTATTGTTGCCATAGTTAGCGGTGATATATATCTCCAACTGTAAGGATAGGCAACAAAATGTCATACAATTAGTACCACATATAAAATACATTCTTAAATCATCATTATAGAAATCAATTGTAAAGTGTATTAAATTTTTATAAATGGAATTAATAATATGAAAACTTATAAATTAATATCAGTATTTGTTAATAAGAAAATTTCATTTATTCTTACGACTATTTTTAGTTAAAATTTTAATGATAGTTATAAATAATTTTAATTTAATATTTTAATACTTAAAAGTTTGCTTTAATAGAAAACCTATTTTATTAATTTACTGGCTTTCATATGTTTATTACTAATGAGATTTATTTATTGAATATTAATAGCGTATCGAAAAGTATTAATAATATTAATAATATTAATAAATATGAAATAGTTTGCAAACCAAAATAGAAACCAATGGTTTACTCTCCTACCCGTCATTAACTCGATTTCATCACTAAATCTGTTTTCAAAAACAAATGCATTATTAATAAATATCGAGTTGTGTAATCATATTTCTCACTTTTTAAGTCCGTAAACATATGATACGGCAATACATTCACAAAACGCAACGATAAGTAATGGAAAATTGCCGGCGAAGTCATCGAAAAGAGTAAAAATATAATTTCCAGAACCGTTACAAAACATAAGGGAAATGAAAAATGATATCTGAAATTGAAATCAACAAAAGAACAGCACTTGTAGTCAATCGACTTAAGAATAGTTGCAATTCTTTATATATACCAAACATATGGCACCTAATGTTAGAAAAAGAAAGTGAGAGACAGAGAGTAAAGGAAATTAATGCAAATATTGGTATGAATTCTGTAAAGAATTGGAGTTTCATTTGTAAACACAATACAATATGAATAAAAAGTGTGTCAAACCTGTGAGGATCTCCTTTCTTAGATTCGGGAACAGTTTCATGTCTACTATTGAAGTGACGGCTCCCTCTAAAGTACCGAATTGGGAGTCAATTCCTATGAATATATCGGAATTTGTTGTTTAGTATAAAGTGTTATAAATGAAGAGACGTTTACCCAAAGTGAAGAGCATTAGGAAGAATAAGAGCGACCAAAACGCTGAAATACCCGGGAATTGATTGATGGCATCAGTAAATACTATAAATGCGAGGCCTGTGCCCGAAGCGCCCTATCAGACACATAGACAACACAAATCTCACAAAAATCCCATAAAAACAATTCTTATGAAAAGAGAAAGTTTCAGTAAAAAAGAGATATATTTGAGTATTAGATTAATTGAAAAGAATTTATATTATCAGAGAAAACAATGAGCCAGATATTTAATTATATATAATACTATTTATAATAAATAATAGAAACATATATAATTGAGTGGTATGGCAGTTGAGCACATACTGTACATACCTTATCCAATTCCTTTTGTAGATCACATTCAGGAATAATAGGCTGAATTGTAGTCGTATTGAATAATGAGAATTGAGTTGAAATAGCATTTTCTAATAAAAGTTTATTTCTCTCTTCAAGACAATGTTCATGAATGCGATTTGCTTTGAAACCTGTGTTTATAGAAACGAAAAATATTTACTGTACTCTTATATAATATTCAAAAGAAAGATAATGATTGTATTGAGTGACAGGTGACTGACCCATGACCGAGAAAACGACAATCCCCGCGAACATAGAAGTGCCGCAATTGGTTAGCGCGACGAATATAGCATCCCGGTAGCAGTCATTATGGACCGGATTGTACGATGAAAACGCTATCAAACCTCCAAATCCCAGTCCCAGTGAGAAGAATATCTGTGTCCCCGCCTCTAACCACACGACCGGATCCGATAGCTTTGACCACTGAATTGACAATTAATTTGCTATCAATTCTACAGTACTCTTAATACTTGATTATACTGATAGACAATAGGACTCACATCTGGTGTAAAGAGATGTTTAATGCCGTCTTCCATACCGTCGAGAGTAATGCCGCGGAAGAAGAATATAATGAGAACCAGATATGGAAAGGTGGCAGTGATGTAGACAACCTGTCCATCAGTTATAATTACATTATAATCTCATCGGTGCATCACTTTTGGGACAAGTTTTCAATTTATAATTATATATTATTTTGTTTGTTGGAAAACTTTATTAATCAAAGTTCATGAGTTAGTACTGAATTCTGTAATATCTGTGTCTAAACCTAAAATGTTTGAATTTAATAATATATTACTGACTGATTTATTGCATAAAAATTATTATTACTGTTTCTGGTCATTAGTTTTATCGGTCTCTAAAAGAATTCAGACATAAAGTTATATTTTCGACAAAAAACCATAAGTTATGTCACTTTGTTGGCTAATAGAGAGTTTAGTTTATAATCAATGCTGTGATCCAAATTCATGACATGCAATGCAATGCAATACATACTTACTGTATATGATATGATATGCTATAATAATCACCCATTTGTTGGGCCGATATATTGCCATAAACTTACGGCGTTATAAAAATGATTGGATCGATATTTAATGATAGCGCAGACAGTCTAACCGTTCCCTATCGTATCACTGAGAGATCGCTTTTATAAAATGAAGCACTTTTTGCCTAAATTATAGCTGAATATTGTATTCAATTTTTTATATAAATTTATCGATCCATTACATTGAAAATCATCTAAAGATTTAGGATTTTAAAGCCTTAAAAATTCCTAATAGATTTAACTCAAATTTAAATTAAAGTAATTGTGTTATTCTAAAGTATTCAAATGAAGTGTTTTAAGTCAATGAATGTCTATTAAGTCATTAAAGTCTTACTTTTCCCGATGAAGCGATGCCTTTAATCATACAGAGATAGCACAATAACCAGGCAATCATTAGGCAAATAGCAATACTAAAGTTAAAAGTTTCGGGTTCATTGATATCCGACGATATATCCAGTGTTGTTCTGTACCAAAAGTATTGAGTCGGACTACTCTTCTGTAATAATACCATAATTCATCACAATTTATTAGTAAACGGTATTACAATTCACTTTTATATCAAATATAAGCATAAATATTATGTTACTGCTAAACATATTACCTTAATATACAACAATATCTAATATACAAAAGTGTGCCTTTAGGTAATCCAGATTACAAATAACCAAATATTATGAAAAGTTTTTTATTTAAACAAATTGGTCACAAAATCACATTTGCCAAACAAAAGTGATTTATTAATAAATTAATTATCCCTTAAGTCTAATTTTAATTCATTTTCTGATCAATAAATTATTGCTTGATAAATACCCATAAATCATTTTCTTATCGTACACAAAAAAGTCTTTTAGGACATGAAAACTTCCTATGAATACATGTTCTTTATTACATAAGTAACTGTCAAAACGATTCTTTATATAGTAATTGATTTCTTAATCATTCAGCAGTTCTTAACGTTTTCTTTAATTATTTATATAATGTGGTAAAAGATTTTTGCAATGCTTTATATTAGGCGACAAGAGTTGAAAAGACATGTCCTTTGAATTATTTGAAAATATATCACAAAAAAGATATTTTCGACATATATTTGAGATTAAATTTTTCGAATTTTCTTCACAAATATTTCTTCTTTTGTGACATAAAAAGGCTTTTATATGAGATTTTTGTGCAGATATTGAACGATAATATCATTATTAACACAATGGAAATATTCGTTCATTTTGTGTTTCAATAATTTATTGTTCATTACATCTATAGTTAAAGCGAACTCTTTTGTAACTATAATATAATTCACTCTTTAGTAATCAAATAATGAATTCAACCATTTTTATGCTATTCTGTGCAAAGTTGACGAGAAACTCAAAAAATCATACAAAAAATAAGATTCACAATCATATTGTCTATATATAGATGGGAGGGATGCAGAGGAGTACTGTTTGTGTGAAGTGAAACATCTCTCTGGAGAATACATTATATAAACAAATGTTTGATTTTTGAATTTAAAATGCATTCAATTTTAATTCTTCTTTTCATCTCATCCTAAGTCTATTACAATATATCATATATTCGATGCTTTAGAAACAAAATAAATATCTTTTATATTTTGCTTTTATTTGTCAAACGTATGTCAATAGTATGTCATAGACTCTATGTCGCCGAGAGAGAGTGAGTGAGAGAGAGAGAGAGAGAGAGAGAGAAATGAGTGTTTGTTTCAATTTGTAAAAACATACAGGAAAACATAAAGTTATGTAACAATTGTGTTAAATGTTCAATAAATTAAAAAAAACTAAAAACAATTGATATTTTATATTACCAAAGCATTGAGAAAATATATATTCAATAAATTCTTGGCTATAAAGTGGTTGCAAATCGCAATCAATCGAATTCGTATACGAATAAAACTTATTTATGAGTATATAATCTAAACATTTGTTTGAGTTTCTCAATACTGGACTTTACGACAAACCCATCTATTTATTAGTTATCTCTCAATAACAATAAATTCTAATAAATGAACGCATCATTAAAATAATTGCTATTTCGCTATTAAATAACATACTATTAATTATTATTAACACAAAATATTAACAAAACATTGCGCTTATTAAATTCTGAAAATACAATTCTCTATTCTAATAAATGAACGCATCATTAAAATAATTGCTATTTCGCTATTAAATAACATACTATTAATTATTATTAACACAAAATATTAACAAAACATTGCGCTTATTAAATTCTGAAAATACAATTCTCATGTATCTAAATAAATTCAATTAAATAAAAGAAAATTAATTTAAAAATCAATTCATCATATTGAATATTTAGAAAATGGTGATTTTAATTATATTTTTCTATTGTAGAAATAAATTTATTTATCATTTTATTTAAAATTAAAAATATTTCACTTTTATATAGAAAAGAGAAATCAAGTTCATTTTAAAATGAATTGAATTTGGATAATTAGGATTCTGTAATTATTTTGGTTTTTAACATAATTCTCATCAAGAATTTAGTTATTAATGTTTCATCGCATCTGAATATAATCTTTATTACATTTAATGTGTTAAAACTCGATTACAGATATTTAATTTGTTTGTTATAATTAATGTAATTATTTTTCGCACGAAAAATGTGTTATTAATACGCGATTCATGAAAGAATATATGAATTAATGTTATATAATATATTTCAGTGTTCTGTTAGTGAATATTATTTATAGCCATAACCTTTCTGTATACTAGTATAAGGTATAGTTTATTATGAAAAATTGCTATTTTTTAGACACTCAGCCAAATGTGAAAGAATTTCCATAAACACGCGATACTATTAGTGAGTCTAAAACAAGCGCATAAAACAAGTATTGAAAGGTTTGCTAAATATGTTGTCATTTCCATATAATGTTGGTTTAAATCATGGTATATGTCCATTGATTTATTGGCAAACTACTGCTTTAATTCATAATTTTTAACTTTAGTATTGCTATTTGCCTAATGATTGCCTGGTTATTGTGCTATCTCTGTATGATTAAAGGCATCGCTTCATCGGGAAAAGTAAGACTTTAATGACTTAATAGACATTCATTGACTTAATGTCTTAAAACACTTCATTTGAATACTTTAGAATAACACAATTACTTTAATTTGAATCTGAGTTAAATCTATTAGCAATTTTTAAAGCTTTAAAATCCTAAATCTTTTCAATGTAATGGATCGATAAATTTATATAAAAAATTGAATACAATATTCAGCTATAATTTAGGCAAAAAGTGCTTCATTTTATAAAAAGGATCTCTCAGTGATACGATAGGGAACGGTTAGACTGTCTGCGCTATCATTAAATATCGATCCAATCATTTTTATAACGCTAAGTTTATGGCAATATATCGGCCCAACAAATGGGTGATTATTATAGCATATCATATCATATACAGTATGTATTGCATTGCATTGCATGTCATGAATTTGGATCACAGCATTGATTATAAACTAAACTCTCTATTAGCCAACAAAGTGACATAACTTATGGTTTTTTGTCCAAAATATAACTTTATGTCTGAATTCTTTTAGAGACCGATAAAACTAATAGCCAGAAACAGTAATAATAATTTTTATGCAATAAATCAATCAGTAATATATTATTAAATTCTAACATTTTAGGTTTAGACACAGATATTACAGAATTCAGTACTAACTCATGAACTTTCATTAATTAAGTTTTCCAACAAACAAAATAATATATAATTATAAATTCAAAACTTGTCCCAAAAGTCATGCACCGATGAGATTATAATGTAATTATAACTGATGGACAGGTTGTCTACATCACTGCCACCTTTCCATATCTGGTTCTCATTATATTCTTCTTCCGCGGCATTACTCTCGACGGTATGGAAGACG